TAGATCATGAAGAAAACATTAACATATCTTCTTGATTTTCAGGGACACCTAGAAATACCTACACTTTAGTCACAGAAATGAGAAACAGGCTAAGTCACTAGATACTTAATCTTGGTTAACTTCTGCCAATGAAGTTTACTCTGCTGGAGTTGCACTTGTATGTCAAGAATTTGTTCCACAATATTCTTTCATGATCCTTGTAATCAATAACTTTCATCCTTTTTTGGAAAGTCACAACATGTAATAGATGATCAAACATTAGACAATTAAGTAATGATAATAACATGGAACAGGAAAGAGGCAATGGGACTAAAGTTAGTTTAGCCTGTTTCTTTACTCTCCTTCACCTTTCATCTTTCCAAATCTCATAATTTAGTGCTTATGTACCCACACAGCAGATGTACTAATCTCTCCTTCCAAACTGGCCTTTTGGTTCCATATATCTTGACTGAATTAGTATACCATGGAAAGATCATTCAATGAACTTAATATTCTATTGAATGTTATTTTACCAAAACTACTTGGAGCAGGTAGTGAGTGTGGGCTGCCTATGGCAAACTCTGCTTTTATTCTGGTATCTGTGCCTCTCACAAGAAGCTCAGGTAAATTGTTTCATGCAAAATAATCCCTTTCTCCTTGCTGGTGACTGCTTAGGAACAATGATATGTGATGGGAAGTCTGCAGAGAACATCTGGGAAGGTATCCTCAGAGCTCTGAAATAGACTCAAAGACGAAATAAGGCTTCTGCCTATGAATGAGCACTGATGTGCAAGGATATAATGTAACATCTCATGACCCTGAGAGGAGCCAGCCAACATAATGATGCCCACTGAACAAGAATATGGAAATAAATTGACTCCTTCATGAGCCACGAAATTAACCAACTCTCAGGACTGATTTTGTGTGATGACAAAACAGATCCACTTATCAAGCCATTTTGAATTGAATTTTTTGTTTCTACAGCCCAAAGCATTCTAAGTGATACAACACTGCCTTGAAGAAGCAAGACAAGGTTCAGCCACTCTGAAAACATCCTAGCAACAAAGGAATAATTGCTCCAAAAAGATAGAGAGATGAAGATTTGCTTCTCAATAAGTGTTTTGGGAAAACCACCTGTGAAAAGGTATTTTTAATAATGACTCCTGATGTATGGAGAGTGCTTTGAAATCCTCCTGCATAGAATAAACACTGTAATAAAGTTAGGATGAGCCCCTAGGAATGGTATGTGTGAGGATATACAACATACTTGGGGTCATCATAATATGTAAACATTAGGAAACTATCATGAAATTAGTCTTTACTACTCATCTACTCTTATTTCCTTCTATAATTATAAGATCGGGAATTTTCCTTCTTGTTCCTGCTAGCCCCTTCCCCACAACCTGATGAAAACACAGAAACACAGAATTAATAGGAAACTCAGAAAACTGAGGCTCAAAGAAATAGAATAATTTGCACAAAGATCCAAAACTAGCTGGACATGATTTTCTTCATAGTTAAAAATACTTTATGTATGATTTTAAACAAAGTCATATGCTGAGAGCTTAAATTAATGAAAAGTCAAATTGGAAAATCATGAGAAATCAAAACAAGATTTTTTTTACTAATTTAATCATGACAAAATCTTTTGAACTCAAAGCTTTAAGCTTCTTTTTCCTATTACTAATACCCTCCTAAATCCCAACACATATTTCCCTTTATACCAATTCTGTTTCCTAGAAAATCCTTACATATGGCCCATCCTTAGGCCAGTGGTACTCAAGACTACTGGAAAACAAACTAGAAATGTAGGTTCCCAGGCAGAGCCTCTGCTTAGTGGACTCAAGAGTGTGGCCCAGAAATGGTAGTGTAAACAAGCACCCCAGGTGATTCAACCAGACTCCGAGGCACATGACTCCACACTGCCTACTAGGTTCCAAGACCCAAATAGAAAACATCTAATTATCATAGTAGATTTCAGCTGGAATAACAAAAATATGTGCATAGTTGTCTATAATTTTTATGTTCCTTCTGAGGTCTGAAACCAACCCAGCATCTCTGTGACTTGGATGCATGCTGGTAATCATTTGATTTAGAGGTTAGGAATTTTTATTCTTTCCCTCGAAATCTTTTCTTCTCCTCTGAATGCATTTTTCCTTGAGATTAAACACAAAATGCCTTAATTCTACCTTCACAGCTAAAGGAAATCAATTTTGGAAAATGTTTCAAAAGAGTATTTTAAGAAAATATACAATACTGAATGTCTTGCCTTTGAACCAAAAGCCTGAGATGCATGAGCCAAGCAGTAGGTAATGAGAGAAGTAAACACTGAGTTTTCCAGCAGATTCGACCCTGAAACCAAAACTTAGGAAGGAAGCTGACCATTAGCAAGTGGCCCAGAAGAACAATAGCACAGGCAGTTCCTAGGGTAAGTTTGAAACTGAGAAAACTGGAATTAGACAAAGCTCTTGTCCTCAGTTAACTTTCCCTTAGTGCTGGATTTTAAATAAAGACAGTGCTGTAAGTAAGAATATAGTTTATGTAGAATCTAAGAAGTCCCCTGGGTGCTGAAGAATTTTTTTAGAACTAGATAAACACTCTTTACTAGATTCAGTAGGGCTCCCTTTTATATCCATCTCCATCCTTGAGGAAGTTTCAAATCTGGAGGCTCTGCAGACCAAGGACATAGCATGCTGAGAACTGGAGTCTGTTTTCCAACACCGGCTCTGACCACTTCACATTAAGACATCAGAGCTCATCTATACATAGATTTCTTAATGACCACATGAATGCAGAAATGCCATAAAACCAAAGAAAATCATTCTCAAGTAGCAAAACTAAGACAAAATTACCCAGAAATGCAATGGAATAAATAATTCCAGCAAAAAAAAAACTGGTTTAAATTGGTTAGAGGGCAAACAGCCAAGGTCACAGCTGTAACTTGGCAAATTCCAGTTGTATTATGCCTTAAGTTAGGAACAAGGATGGACAGAACTTAACAAGACAAGGGAAAGAAAGTGTGGAAAACAAGGAGAAATGAACCATCCACCAGGAGATAATCAGGCTCAACTATTTGAGATCTACTGTAAGCATTTTGTTTCATTATTTTAATCTTTTTTTCCCCTTCTTTAAACAGTTCTCATAATTCTTAGGGCAATCTATAAATAGGAAATACTCCTTACTAGCTCTGCTGGATCACCATTCACTCTTGGTCTCTTTCTGTCCAAATTAAGCTCTCATTCCCACCGTACAGCTTGACAAGACTCACTGTTTTCAGATGGTTCCTCACCCTTCTCCTCCAGCTGCTCCCAGCAGGCCTCCAGGTCCTCTGAAGGACTCAGGGGCCATAAAGCAGTCACAAGTTTCCCACAGACTTGGCTGGTGTGGGCACCTAGAATCACCTGTTTTGATGCACGCCCTTCAAGTGTGCAAAGTTGAAGATGGAAACCAGCTTTCTAGCCTAACAAATGCCTCACTCTGGGCTGTGTGAGACAGGAATCATGCTGTCATCTCATAGCATCTGGAGCTGGGTTTTAAAGTCCTATTCTCATCATTTTAAACACACTTCATCAGGATTCTCTGACATGCTTTGGGCAGTCTCACTGCAAACTTGCATGTTTCCCGCCATCTTCTTAATACTTTCTGAACATGCAGTTCTGATATGCATGGTAAAAAAAATTGTTTTGCTAAATAACAGAAAAATCCTGGATTATGCCCAGTTACTTCTCACCAACACAAAGAAAGCACTCAGTTTTTCATAATACCTGTGCACAGTTTTCTAGTGCATACATCTCTCTTTCTCTAAAAGGTACCATCAGTGCATGACAGATTAATAAAAGCTAACCATCTCAACCCCCTTCAGGTGAAAATCAGTATATCCCAAAGAACTGATTTGATGGCAGGAGCAAAGTGCTCTTAGGGCAAAATTTATAGCATATCAGTAGAATTTAGGGCTTAAAGATATTTATGATTATTCCTATCATTTGCTCCAGTTTACAGACAAAAACATTCCACCTAAGTCAATGAAAGTTTAGAATACAATACACACATAGTGACCAATACAGCAAGGGAAGTCACAAGGCCATTCCAAAAACAGTCAGGCAACAGTAAATACACAAAAATTAAAAACCATGCTAATGGTGTAAAAACTTCCAGCAGGATCATGTCCTCATTTGAATGTTTTAATAATCTCTGAGGGAAACTGGGCATTTGCAGAAGTAATTCCTTCATTTTTTGTATTTCTTCAATGTCTGTATCACAAGTACTTTAAAAATCCATGGCTTTAAAGAATATCTATTATCCACCCTTGACAAATGAAGAAACTAAGAAAGAGGAGGTTTAGTAGTTATTCAGGAGTGATTAAATAGCTTGTTAAGAATAATCAGCTCCAGGCCAGGAGTGGTGACCCACGCCTGCAATCCCAGCTACAAGTAGTCATAGGAAGGAGGATTGCTATCCATGGCCAATCTCAGACAAAAACACAAGACCCCATCAGAAAAATAACTAAAGCAAAAAAGGGATGGGAATGTGACTCAAGTGGTAGAGCACCTAGCAAACATGAGGCCCTGAGTTCAAACCCCACTACTACAAAAAAAAGGAGAAAAAAAAAAAAAGTCACTCTAGAATCCAGGCCTCCTTGCTCCAAACCCAAGTTCTAAAAACCCACAACATATTCTTGTTTGCCCTTGATCATTGAAAGAACATATAAGCCCTGAAAATTCTGTATCATGAGCTGGAATCATGGATGACACACTCTGTTTTGCCCTTGGTTATCACAAGAGCAAAATTCCCCTGCAAACTGCTTGGTGGCCTGGTAGCCTGGACTCTTCCCTGGCCTCCTCTGCAAAGGCCATCTGGCATTAGCTGCTGTTCTCCTCCACAGTTAGCATTTCACACATTTATTTCGTAAGTTTCCAGCCTACCAGATGCAATAGTGGTAGAGCAAAAGCCTAAGCAGAACTGAGACCAGCTTTACTGCAAAGATAGGAACTTGTTGGAGGGACAAAGGGCTATAAACCTACTTTGCCAAGTGGTTCATGAGCAGCTGTAACATCTGCCGATTTTTCTCTGGGAGCCGATGAACAAGGCTATGGATTTCAGAGACCCGAGTCTCCTGGTTCTCCAGCTCTGTGAAGGAAGGAGGGAGGTAATGTTTCATCAGTGTCCCAGCTAAGTCACTTTACAAGCTAAAACCAAGGGAAAGCAAAATTTGGGCACGAACAGACTGAGGATTTCTCAAAGATTTATGATCCTGTCCTCCATGTGTGCTGCATGATCAGCAGGCCTAGATCTGGAAGTCTTTTTAATGGTGTTTTCTGTAACAGGGTTCATGAAAATAACGACTGTCCAGAAATTCAGGCCAAAGTGATGACGTGATGACAGAGCCAGTCAACTGCACACGCAGAGCAGGAATGGACGCAGGAACAGCTGGCTCCCAAGAGGGCCAGCTTCATTTCAAAGAAGGAAGGAACTTTATGCACTTGTAAAGTGATAAACAAATCTTATGTGAACATTGCAAGAGTCTCAAATATCAAAATAATGCGTCGAGACAGTATCAAAGAAATCAAAGGAAATGCCCATTATTCTCTAGTTAGGTATGACAACCAGCATGGCAGAAAGAAAGCAATGGCAGATAAAAAGATTTAAGTCTTTCTGCCACATGTAACTTCTATCATGGCTTTTTGTGCTCTCTTTCTTCCTTGAACTTGGACAAATGGCTTCATTTCTCTGGGAAATAGATTTCTGGTACTCATCACACCTATTTATAGGATTGATGCAAGGTTTAATTAGAGAATGGTTGCTATGGGCTTGGAATTTCTCTGAGAAAGAAATCATATAAACACCAAATACCATCTTCACTCCCAGCTTTCTCCCAGGTCTTCTTTCTCCCTGTTTTAAGGGGACAACTATGAGTATCATAGAATATCAGAACATTAGGTACTACTAAATTAGGCCAGTAGTAGCTACCAGGGCAAACAAACCCTAAAGACTGAAAGGAACCAGGGAAAGGCACAAGTTATGGACCTAAGAATACTATGAGAATTCATGCCAGATTTAAATATGACAGAGACTATAACTGCCCCCTTACTTGGAGGCCTCCCCCACGTACACAGATTCCAGTATACTTAGGGTAGCTTGCACCTAATCCTTATGTAGTTTAATACCAGTAACGTGACACTAGGGACCTTGATGGTGCAGTTGAAGAAATGATCAGAAGCTGTAAATGGAAGACATGGGGGAAAGTCGACTGTGAAGTTATATAAATGGTGTCATATTCAGGGAAACACTTCCAATGCTCAATTTAGGAAATGTGTGATTCATTCTGTAAAATGCTACTCAAAGGATGGAAAAAACCCAAGAAGTTAGAACTCCAATAATTAAAACTAGAAAGGCAAACTTGCTTTCTTTCCTCTCTCCCCTTCCCACAAACTTCTTCCCCACCGAAGTTTCTCTCCTCCACTGTGAATTCGGTTTGGTAGCAAGGCTCTTAGCAGTCCACATTCAGTTTCGTTTTTATTCTTTGTCAAGAGTCTCATGAACATGTATGTGGACACTATACAAGCAAATATGATGGGTTAGATAGTAATAATTTTGGGACATTGAATGCTCTTTGAAATAGAAAAATCTATTCTCTTCTCCTTAAAACAACCATCAAAAATGACTTACTTGCTGCTTTGATGAAACTTCTTTGAAATTGGTACATCATGAGTGGCCCTGGAAGCATTCTGGAATAAAAATATATATATTGAGTCAGCTCAATAAGAAAATAATCATATTCTTGGTAAACAGTAGCTAAAGACTACCAAATGGAATTACATCTCTCAGAGACAAAGATCACTGAGCCACCATAACCAGTTTTTTTGTTGAGATGGGGTCTTGCTAACTTTTTGCATGACCTCAAACCATGATCCTCCTGATCTCTACCTCCTAAGTAGCTGGGATTACAGATGTATATCACCACACCCAGAACTCTCTCTCTCTCTCTCTCTCTCTCTCTCTCTCTCTTAAAGGAATGGCTAAAACTATGCTTTATAGTCACAGCTGGATAAGCGTTAATACAGAAGTCTAGCACAATCCAAGAGATTTCCTTTTCAGTCAGTGACTTACCAATCAACAAGAGCATTTGAGGATACAGGAGAAACAAGTGCTAATATTTGCAATACCTATGCTTAAACTCTCATCTTTCCAGTAACTTGGTGCTGGGATCAGTTCATCTGGAAATACTACAGAATACTCATGTAGGTGTTTTTCTCCTGAGTAGAGTACTGCTCCAAAATGCCAAAGGACTAGAATACCTAACATCAGCCATAGTGTAAACAAATTTTACCTGTTTAAGTTCAAACTTACAAGTTTTTTCCCTGATAATCTTAAAAATACACTCAAAAGACTGTGCATTATTTGTGGCTCCAGTTTCATTCTTATCAGATTTCTTAATTCAACCCTTAGACATCCTTGCATTACATCTCACTCCTGACTTCACAGTCAATAAAATCTGCATCACCAATTCCTTTTCTGTGGCTTTCCTCTTTTGCTTTCCAGCCAAGTAACTCGTCACAAAACCTTGACCATGGCTAATCTGATCATGATTACAGTTTTCCTCTCCATTTGTGACTACACCCCACCTTCCTGTTTAACTACAGTGCAGTACAGTATTCCTGCCCTTCAAGTCCAGCATCTGGTGAAGGGTATTCATGAATCTGAGATGTAAGTGGAGCATGAAATAACCAAGGGAGGGACAGAGAGGTAGGGATTATAACAAATGTTTAAGGAAAACAGTCTGTCCAGTAAGGTAATAATTCCTACCCTAAGCTGAAAAAAATTCTCATTTTTAAGGACCAATGTTAAGTTTTGTGGTGCACAAAACTCTCACAATACACAGGGTGTGTAATCATGCATTCTCTATTCAATGTGACACATAGTTTCTTGGTTGCTTAACAGATTATTCAGGGAAGACCACATTTTAGGTTCTGTCCAAGGCTAATTATTTCCTTAAGAGCAAAGCTTCTGAAATCACTCATGGCACTTGTGCAATGACAACCCCTCACCCAGGGATGAGGTACAGTTGTCTGACCAACTATACTCCATGCGCCCACACAGAAGCTGCTTCCACGTCTCGAACACCCACCCACCAGCTCTCTGGAGGCTCTACAGATCGAGCTGCATTCTTCCTGCTAGCCTGAGGATGGCTGGCACCCCACCCTGCAAGTGGAAAGTCCCTACCTCAGATAGGTCTTCAGTGCACTAGTGATGGTCTTTATCTCCCATTCAGCACAGATATCTGTCTCTGTCTCAGAAGCTGTTTTGGGGTCTAAAATGAAGAAAAGACAATGTGTAAATAAAATATGGCTAATAAGCACACATAAAAGCATTCAACCTTGTTAGTAATGGAGAAAATGCAAATTTAAACCAAAAAATGACACGTAACTTTTTGTCTATTATATCTGAGAAAAGTTTAAAAGTCAAAGTATCTATGGCTGGAAAATGCACTGAAACTGAGCCTCTCATAAACTGCTGGAAGCAGTAGAGATAAGTGCTAGAGTCTAGAAAAGCCATTTGGCAATATGTATCATCAAGAGTCTTAAAATGTTTATGCTCTCTGAACAGTAATCCCATTTCTCATAGTCTCTCCTCAGAAACTAAGATAAGGCATGAAAAAGTCATATACCCTAGAAACGTTCCACACACTATTCTAACAGCAAAAAAGTCAAAAGCAGGAGACAACCTAAGTGTCTCATCACAAAAGAATGGTTAAGTGAATTGCAGGATGTCTCTCTGATGGAATATTGTTTTGCCACATACATGAAACTGATGACCATAGGGCATGGAAAATGCTTGTATTACATAATGTCAAGGGGAAAAAAACTCAAGATATAAGTTTGTGAGAAACTCATATGAACAAAGGCTGAAAGGAAATACTCTAAAATTAAAATAGTGGTTGGGTTAAAGTGGTAGAACTATGGTTTTCCTATTTTCTAAACTGTGTATGATTTGATCCCATTACTTTTATATATAACTTAAATTGTCTTAACCCCAGATGTGCAATGAGCACAACCCCAATTATATTGGCTCCTGGTAATTTCCTCTTTAGTCTTTTTCTGCATGGAATTTAAAACATAAGTGTGTTTTCACTGTGTTATCAGAAAAGAGGAGAGCATTCCCTAGTTGCCCTGAGCAGCACACAGGCAAGTAAAAAGAAGAGGCAAAAGCTGGGGAGTACGAATGGCTTCACAGGTCCCTGTCACTAGTGAGTTGGGTCGTCACACAGAAACCGGTGGGAGGACACTGAAGTCTTCCAGTGTGTTGAAGGCGGCAGCTTCCTGAACTGCCTAGAGGCCAGTATTTGCCCACTGGCTCCCACCAGCTTGCTTTCTGCACAGGGCCTTGTTCTCAGTTGGGGAGCTACCCTTTTCTTGCTCCTTCCGGGGGAAGGGAATGAGATTCTAAGGTTCAAAGGTGGATCACCTCTCTGCTATGCTGGTGATCGCCTAAGACCTGAGCCAGTTCAGTCACCATGAACTCCAGAACTTATCCAGGAGACAAGCTGCTGTTTGCTGGGCTGCCACTTGAATGATTATATAGCTACCAGGTGCCACCAGGTACTGCCTGAGAATGAGTCCAAAAAAACAAAGCCAGAAACAGAGAAAGCAAGTCTTGATGATGTGGTTTCAACTCTTGTATCTAGCCATGCCTTTTTAAATGTTTTTTTAAATCATGAAAGCTAATAATCCCTTGCCCCCCTCTAAGTTAGTCACCCAGGAGAAAGAGGCCAAATACTCACAAATAGCTTAAGGATTTAGCTTGTAATTCCCAGGGAAGGGCACAAACCTAGCTGGTAACTCCTGCTCTGTGTATTCCCTTGACTTGCAGATGAGATAGAAAAGGGCCTCAACTCATAAAATGTGTGGCTATAAAGGCAAAGCACCTGTGTGATGTCTACAGGAAAGCCTAGGCAATAATGAAGTCTTTCTTATCCATGAAATATACAAGGAAGAACCTGAGGAGCATGATTTTATTTCTGAAGTCACAGACAGTAAATTCCGTAGAGTTCTATTATAGCAAATTTCTTAGAAAAGGTTTAAAAAGGTGATTTTTCTCTTGTCCAGCTATAATTCTTTTGTTCTGCAGCTTTAATTTTGTTTTTCTTTTCTTCAACATCTCAGACTCCCTGGATGGTTTCTTCCTGCAAAGGCCTAGGTATCCCAAAACATGACCTCTTTCCCTTCCCATCACCAAGACGCATGGAGTGCTGCCACACTGCATGGTTTCTGGACACAAAACAAATGTTACTGTACATTTTTCTGAGGAACACTCCAACTTCTACCCAAGAAGAGTGCACATGAAACAAAACCAGCAGCAGTTGGCAGGTCTGGGAGTTGTGAACTGTTCCATGAACCGCATTTAGCAAACTAATGATCAGCATCCCTTATACAGGCTCTGTGACCAGAGGGATATTGCGTAACATACAAGGAGAGTCAAATTACAGACCAACTAAAGGGCTTTTTATAGCACTGATGAGGCAAGGCTCAGAACTTGGGCACAACCATTTTAATTCATTTAATAGCCAAACTAAATTGAATACAGGCTCCCAAGCTGCCCCATTTCCAGAAAGGACTGCCAGTTTCCACACCTCCCATCTGATGCTCCCCTCACTGACACAGCTTACTGGTGGCATCTGAGTATGTTGTGAAACCTGATCTACAATTTTCTGTAGAACTCATAGCATTTCTCCCTCTCCCACCCCTTGACCAATGCAGACCTAAACCCAAACTAGGGGAGCAGGTCAAAGTGCAAAAGGGCATCAGGCAGGTGAAACACAGAAAGTATATTTTCTCTTTCAGCCACTACCACATGAATTCAGAGAAATGGGAGAGGGCCAGGTGTACTAGTGGTGCTTACCTGTAATCCTAGCTACTCTGGGGGCAGAAACTGGGAGGATCATAGTTCAAGGCCAGCCCAGGTGAAAAGCCATCGAGACCCATCTCAACTAAAAGGTTGAGCATGGTTCACATCTAATCCCAGCTATGTGGGAGGCATAGGGAGAAGGATGATAGTCTGAGGCTAGCCCCAGGCAAAAAAGGGACAGACTGAAGGAAGGAAGGAAGGAAGGGAGGAAGGGAGGGAGGGAAGGAAAACATGCACAAGGCCCTGGGTTTGATCCCCATCTGTGCAGAACAGAACAAAACACAAAGAGAAGCACACTATGCATGTCATTCTGTATATGGTTATTTTCATTTGATAATATCTTCTGAAACTGGCCTATATTGACATAAAAATACCATACACACACACATACATTATTAATTTAATGGAAGTTAGGTTGTTCCCTGATTTTCACTAAGATAAACAATGATATAAACTACTGTTTCTTTATATATCTTTTTCTTTTTGGTGGTACTGGGGTTTGAACTCAGGGCCTCCTGCTTGCTACTCAGGTACTCTACTATTTGAACCATACCTCCAGGCCTTCTTTGTATATATTACCTGTAGAAACAATTCATAAAAGTGGAATTTCTGAGTCAAAAATAAGTGCATTTAAAATTCTGAAAGATAGTGCTTAAGCGCCCTCAAAGGTTTAAGTTTGAGTGACTCCTTTCCACAACCCTGATAGCAATGTGCACTTTGATTGTACCTAGCCAAATAGGTTTTTTAAAAATTCCTGTAAGTATGTTTTTAAGGTGAAGTTTCTTGAGGTGCATGTGTGCTTTACAAGTGTATGATCCCGAGTTTTGAAAATATGGACAGCCATGTAACTGCCACCACAATCAAGATATTTCCATTGCCCCCCAAAACTCCTTTGTGCTCCATTATGCTCAACCCTCTCCTTCCACCTTCACCCTCTGGCAACCACTTTCACATAGCATAATACTTTTAAATCCATCCATGTTGTTACATGTACTAGTAGTTTAATCCTTTTATTACTGAGTAGCATTCAATGTTATGGATATGCCATAATTTGTTTATCTATTCACTGGTTGATGGACATTTGGGTTGTTTCCAATTGTAGCTGTTATGAATAAAACTACTACAAATATGTGCACAAAGGTCTTTGTGTGCACTACATTTTCAACTCTTGAGTAAAAACTGTACTTACAAGCAGGACTGGGTAAAAACACCAGGAGCAGATAATATGGTAAGTATGTTTACCTTTAGAAAAAACTGCCAAGTTGTCTTCCAAAATGTTTGGGCCATTTTCCATTCCTACCAGCAAAAGTCCGGTTGCTTCTCAACCCCATCAACATGTGATATGATCAGTCATTTTAATTTTAGCTAGTCTAGTAGGCATGTAGTAGCATTCTATTTTTCCAGATTTGTATTCCCTTAATGATTAGTGATATTGGTCATATTTTTCACATGTTATTTGGTCATTTGTGCATTTTCTTCAGTGAACTGTTTTTTTCCCCCCCAAATCCTTTGTCTGTTTAAAATGTTGTGCTATTGAAGGTTATCCAAACAAAAAATCAATAAAGATATCCAAGATCTAAAATATACAATAGATCAAATGGACCGACTTGATGTCTACAAGAACATTTCATCCAACTTCTACACAATATACATTCTTCTCAGCAGCCCAAGGAACCTTCTCCAAAATAGATCATATCCTAGGGCAAAAAGCAAGCCTCAGCAAATATAAGAAAATAGAAATATATACCGTGCATACTATCTGATCCACAATGCCTAAAACTAGAACTCAACCACAAAATAAAGACAAAAAACATGCAAAACAGCTGGAAACTAATAAACTCACTACTTAATGAACAATGGATCTCGATGAAATAAAAGAGGAAACTTAAAAAGTTCCTGGAAGTCAATGAAAATGAAAACACAACCTACCGGAACCTATGGGACACAAATTCAGCAGTCCTCAGAGGAAAGTTTATACCATGAGTGCATATATTAAAAAGACTGAAAGATCCCAAATCAATGACCTAATGATACATCTCAAACTCCTAGAAAACAAGAACAAGCAAATCCAAAACAAATAGGAGAGAAATAATAAAATAAGAGCTGAAATCAATGAAATAGAAACCAAAAAAACCATACAAAGAATTAATGAAACAAAAAGTTGGTTTCTTTGAAAAATAAACAAGATCGATAGACCCCTGGCAAACCTGACTAAAATGAGGAGAGAAAAAAACCCAAATTAGTAGAATCAGGAATGCAAAAGGGGAGATAACAACAAACACCATGGAAGTCCAGGAAATCATCAGAGACTACTTCGAGAACTATATATCAAATAAATTTGAAAATCTTAAAGAAATGGACAGATTTCTAGATACATGATGATCATCCAGAAACTGAACCAAGAGG